AAAAAAAAAAAAAAAAAAAAAAAAAACAATTTCAAAGAAATATTGAGTAGTTGTTAAATTTAAATTCTAGAAACTGCAAGTCACTATGAAATCCTAAGGAAAATTTATTTAACCAACAGATCTTATACTTCTTCATATTCCTTCATATCGAATACTTAATAGTCCGGCCCCTTAAATACTGATAGTATTCTTCCATTTGCTCCCAACCATTAGGATTTTTTGTATAATCAATCAATCCTGGACTTTCACCCTCTTCCAGTCTATAAGAATAAAAAGACAATTATTCATTTTTTACAGCACTGCTGATTCGTTTTCAAAGCATAAAAAAACGATGTTTCTTCTTAAAAAGCAACGACAGAATGTGTACCTTACAAAAACATTGACATAGCGATGCCTTAACGTTGCCCACTGCTCGTGAGCGTGCCTGCGAGAACTCTTAACAATCTTACACTGTATCCCAAAAGCCTCTGCGACGTGCATTTCGGATGGGAACTCTATATAAAATTCTTCTTTTGCTCTCTTTTTGGCTTCAATCAAAACTTCACGCATTATAGCTGCAGCCTATAAAATAAAAGAATGAAATGTATGTTCAAAAAGAATCCGTATTAAAAAGTCAATTTCACTAGGACATATCAATAATGCTCTGAATACTACAATAAAGAGAAGCCCTGAAAAATTGCAAGAAACAAGATGAAAAAAGTCACCCTGGTGAGCGACTTTTCTAGTTGAACAAGTGCGTCGTCGACATTCCTTCTCCTAACTAAATGACAGGCTTTAAAGATTTTCTTAGGGTGACAGTGAACTGACTGTTTACAGTGGTAAACCTCTCGACGTTTCGCAAACCCTGTCTCAGGAACAACAAAACCAGGGGGCCAAACAACCTAAAATAATTGCTAAATTAGGGTGGCTTAACAAAGTGAGAACTTTAACAATCCTATTTATCGAAATAAATGTTTGATGTCAGCAAAGTTAACAAGTATTTAGACTTCACAACTTGACAAGATAAAAATAAAAGGTCTTTAAAAACCTTTATTCTTAGAAAATTAAAATTATCTAGAGCTTCAACAAAAAGGTGTAGTACCT